TTTCTATTCAGACTCTTAGAACTGCAAAGATTTACATTTGCCAGATCACTTCAAAGAATTAAAATAAGCAAACTATGTCTTTTGCATGTGCTGTGTCTTCCTAAAAGAAAACAGATTCCTTTCACTGTTCTCTCAACTGCAGCTGATTTATATAATGTGGTCATCAACTTAATAAGGTGCAGATTCAGATTACCTATTTCAGATGGGCAATTTTGGCTTAGAAAGGAGGTATCTGACCCTGGCAAGATGACTAAGCTTCATTCAGTTCAGTGTTTTTCCCAAAGGTGGTACTTACCTAAGCAAGGATAAAGAAATAAGGGGAGCCTCAAACATACATAAAAACCTGCATTCAACTGCCCCTTCAACCTAAATGAATTAATGCCACATCTCACACTTTCCAGGAGCATCCCCAGGCACAAGCCTCTAGTCTAGGCTGGATAAAGACATTTTCTATCACTGATATCAGAGCTTAGCCATTGCATAGCCATGAAACCAATTTTTGTTGGACCACAGAAAGTACGAGTAGGGAGATCTGCCCTACATACTGCTGTTGAAGATACGCAGGTTTGGTTCCTGGTTTCTTGATTTATCTCTATTTCTATCCAATCATCATGTCACAGAAGATGCATAAACAAGAGCAGAGAGAAGAATTTTGCTTTCCACCAAAGCTGGAGGTTCACACAGCGCCCCTCCCACATTAATTTATAGCCTGATAGTCAGCATATGCTTGTGAATATGGGAATGCAGGTTTGAATTCCCTCAGTCTCTGGAGGCCAAGAACTTAGTCTCCCACTTCCTGGACAAACATTCTAGCCAGAAGGATTTTTTTACAAGCTATTTTTAAAGCTACTCCTTGGAAAACATGGTATTTAAAATCTGGTAAAACTTCTTTCTTTTCACAGCAATTGTGAGAAGTGTCAAGACCCTGTGACAGGTGCAAACTGAACCAGAAACTCCTTTTTGATACTTATTGTAGAACAAAAGTGATAACTTAATAAACACATTGATTGGAAAAAATATTTTAAAGTTATAAAATGCTCATCATGCTCTCATAGGCAAGCTTTCAAGACACTTGCGAGACTCTTATCAAAGACACAGTTTTTCTCCATTCTCCTCTTTAAACCAAAGCTGGTTCTGTATTTCCCACAGACACAGCTGAGGTTGCCCTCCGAGCACATGCCTACACACGTATTTCAGCAGAAGGCTCTACACAGGTCTGACAAGTTATGTTATTGACATTCATGTTGTTTAGTGGAGATTTTATCTAAGTCATGAATTCTAGAAATCTTACTAGAATCGGTAAGGAGTTTGTTCTGACAATCTTGCCCCAGAGTATTTCACAATAACTGATTGTGATTGCTGTTTTCTAATGAAACAGTATCTACATTTTTCTATACAGATGTTAAATTACTTAAACTGTTTAGGACTGGGGACTTGCTTTTTAGCCCCCTTAACATTTTCTGAAACAACTGAAGTTCCTTTTGGTAACTGGATGCATCAAAGCTGAAATTGATAATTAACTGTCTTTCAGCTTAAAAGATAATTATAAAGTCAAACATCTAACCCAGATAATTACTATACCTGACATTTTTCTTTGAATTCTTCACCTTCTTACAATCTGTGGTATAAAATATCTTATCTGTGTCTCCAGACGACAGCTTTTAAAAAAGTAATCCCCCTTTTTTCCACTGCAAATATCATCTACATCTTTCTGGAAATTCATTGTAAAGATGTTAACTAATTGGATTTGACCTACAGTGAACATCTCAGTTTCATTTTTCCTACAAGCTAAATCTTAATCTTCTACCAGTAAGTATAGAAGAAGATTAGATTAGGAAATATTTCTTTACTACTTTGGTGGCTTTAACTATGTAAAACTTTAAACATATTTTCATAAGGATTGTTGAGAATGCTTCACTCCTGAAAATAAGTATACAGGGAATCAGTCATACAACAACTACCATGTCAGTTTAGGGTAGTCATTATTTCAGCAGAACGATTTAGTAACTGTAGAAGTTTTGGAAGGCAGAATCATAAAATCATAGAATACCAGCTTGGAAGGGACCTCAAGGATCAGCTGGTCCAGCCTTTCTTGGCAAAAGCCAGATCTAGACAAGATGGCTCAGCACCCTGTCCAGCTGAATCTTAAAAGTGTCCAGTGTTGGGCAATCCACCACTTCCCTGGGGAGATTATTCCAGTGGCTGATTGTTCTCATTGTGAAAAATTTTCCTCTTGTGCCCAATCAGAATCTCCCCAGGAGTAACTTGTACCCATTACCCCTCATCTTTTCCACGGGACACCTTTTAAAAGTGGAGTCTCCATCATCTTTGTAGCCACCATTTAAATACTGGATCATGTTGATAAGGTCTCCCCTAAGCCTTCTCCAGGCTAAACAAACCCAGTTCTCTCAGCCTTTCCTCATATGACAGGCTTCCCAGTCCCTTGCTCATCTTTGTGGCCCTTCTCTGGACTCTCTCCACATCTATCCACAGCTTTTTTTATAGTGAGGACCAAAACTGAACACAGTATTCCAGGTGTGGCCTGACAAGCTCTGAGTAGAGTGGGATATTGACTTCTTTACCTCTGCTGGTAATGCCATTGATGCCACCCAGCATCCTGTTGGCTTTCTTTGCAACTGCATCACACTGTTCACTCATATTGAGCTTGTTGTCCACCAGGACCCCCAGGTCCCTTTCCACAGAGCTGCTTCCCAGCCGGGTAGAACCCAGCCTGAGCTGCACTCCTGAATTATGTTTTCCCAGGTGCAGGACCCTACACTTGTCCTTGTTGAAATTCATAAGGTTCTTCTTAGCCCACTTTACCAGCTTATCCAGGTTTTCCTGCAGGGTGGCTCTCGCTTTCGAAGTGTCCACTTCCCCTGTGTTCTTCAGGCATGTGATCTACCCTTACTGATATATGTTCATGAAAAGTTAAGTATATGTTCATGAAAAGTCAAAGTATCTGTCAACAAGGATATGTTTATGACACATGAAGTTCTGGCTATAGTACAGTACTAGTACATAATTAGCATATCCATGGTAACTTTAATCCAGTGAGTAGAGATAGCAGTAACAGTGATGACATCACTCTTCTTCAACATAAGTCTTCAACATGTCTTCCACATGAGTAGGAAGAAATCTGATCAATGTATTTTGAAGCTACCACAGTGGACTTGGGTATTTAATCTTCCTGAGTTCTGCTACCTATGCCTGTGAGATATTTGCCTGGACATGTTTATCCACAGCACAGTCTCCCATTAATCTGACTATAAGGCCTTTTCTTCAGCAAAACAGCACCTTATCTATATAGAATTAGAGACAGAGAGTGAATCATACAAAATTCTTTTTTTCAGTGATTTCTGTCAGCTGACTGATATCCTTTCTTTTCATAAAATGAAAGATCTCCAAGGAAGACCTTCCAAATTTACACAGCTAAGATATAAAACCTGAGATTCCCAGAAGTACCACTTTCTTGCATTTAGATATGTCTATAATGTCAAAAAGGTATCAAAACTAAAATAAGTCTATCTGCAAAAGAATTGGAGCAGTTTGTATCAACCAGTAAGGAGATGCTAATGACAAGGCTAAGACCCATATAATCAAATGAAGTAAAGGAAAAGTCATACATTTTTCATTTTTTCTTTAATGGAAGGAGCAAGCTTTTTTTTTTTTTTTTTTTTTTTTTTTTTTTCCTGACAGCATAGAAATCACTAAAACTTGATATGAATGACACAGGCATTCAAGGAAGCAAAATGGTGTCAAGTTAAACACAGTGTCCTGACATGAAATTCCTTTTCTGACTGAATTCCTCCCTATCTGAGAATTAAGAGCCAAGAAATCCCTGGAATATACATTAAAAATAGAGAAATTTGTTATGGGAACACTTTTTTTTTTTTTTTCCATTCTCTCTCTGATATGAAAACTAAATAAAGTCAGGTGAGAAAGTGAGGTTTTTATCTGTCTCTCCTTTTCCCTGTTCATAGACAAATGGAAGAAAATTAAAACACAATAACAAATCAGCTGCTGTAAAATTTAAAAAAAAAATTACTTTGAAACAAATAAAACACTTTTATACCAGACATTGAGTTGAAGAAATTATTTCACTTAGATGTCTGTAACTGACAGGTCTACAACTGCCTCCAGTCAGTACTTGAACCAGAAATCAAAATTGATAGTGACGGATTCTTCCATGTTTATCTAAAGAGGCAATATCCTTGTGCTTATAATAATCATCAGAATTCAGAAACTGTTTTGAATGAAATGGATTTAGTGTACAAAACAGCTATCGTACATGGATAAAAGTTGCTCTTGTCTTTTAGCTGTGGTCACATTTCTGGCTTGGGTGAAGGGACGCTGTATGTTAGTAGTGCACCAAGTGCCTTCTTACCTAAATTAATATTATTATTTTTGTGTCCCCTTCACTCTGCAAAGCACTGATAGTTAGTCCCCAGCAAATGAAATGTAAACTCCTCCTGACATTTTATCTTCTTCTATTTTTATTCAGTCACATTGCTTCTCCAAAGGTTTGCTTCCTATAGAAAGACCTTTCTCAGAGAGACTTGTTTAATTCCATGGCATGTGAGACATTCCTTTTTTGAAAAGGCAAGCAGCTGATATAGCATGCTGTAGCACAAAAGGAGTAAGTTAAAATGCCAAAAAGTATTTCTGGGGAAAGGAAAGTCAAAATATAGTGATATACGTCCTGTCACTTAAAGGCCATAACCATCTAGTTTATGATGACATGATGCTGTAAGTGATAAAGGCAATTATGAATTTAAGAATTACTCCCATACTATTAACTGTTACCATGCATGGACTGTTTAAACATTTTTTGGGCTAGTATTTAATGAATTGCTTAGCATCTGGTGCTCAACTTTCAACCTATAAATTAAATAATTGTTATATTTGGTAATGCCTTCTGAAGCTGATAGAAGGAATGCTAAAAATCAATAGGTGTGACAGAGGACCTCTCAGGAAGGTTTTTTTTAGCAGATACTTACTGCTGTTTGGATTGTCACCTATAATATGATGTCGGCCACTCCAGTACCAAAGCAGCAATGTAGCGTCACGAGACCCAGACACAATGTAGCAATCACCACCGATATAGGACTCTGATCTGGCAAGGCAAGTCACGACATCCCAGTGTCCAAACACAATCTGAGTTAATTTTCCTGGTGGGAGTGCAAAGTGATACAAATTCAGTTTTTTAAAGTACTTGCAGCATTTAGAAATCACTAACTAAATCATTAACAAATATTCAATTCGAATGTAATTTTTGCATCGTGTCCCTTAATTAGAGTTTACTACATGCTACAACAAGATTAAAATTTTTTTTTTTTTTTTTTTTTTTCTCTTTTTATGTTCCTACTGTGGGCTGTGCCCTGTGTCAATCCATAGCCTAACCCTTATCTCTGAAAATCTAAGTCAGTGCTGCAGTCACTGAATATTAAGTGGAGTTACTGCTCCATCAGTATTTAAGCTATGCTGTTAGAACACTATTTGTGAATTTCGTGAATGATATGCATAAGACAGCATATGAACTTTTCCATAATGGTGTTACATTATTATATTAAAAATGTATATTCGTGCCATGTTAATGTCAAACTAAGGTTTACTGTGATTATCACCTCATTCTTACTATTATTGCAATCAGTTTTTTGCAATACACTGATGTCCTGGTTTCAACTATGACAACTGAATGATATTAAGCTAAGCAATCAAAGAAACAAAATATTAGTTCCCAGTAGCAAGCTATGCAACCTACTTCCTTATTACATTAAATAAATAGAGATAGAAACAATACAGCCATGAAAAAAATTGTAACAAAAATTTTGATTGATCCTTTTTATATGATCGATTCTTTGAATACAACCATGGTATTCAAAAGCTATTGAAAAAAAAAAAAAAAAAAAAAAAAGCGCATCTTAAAGCTATTATGCCTAAACAATAATGAAGAATTTTATAAACTACTATTTATAATTTATTGAATGGTAAGCATAGGCATTAGATATGGTAGCATTAAGACTTTGTGACCTAAGAAGAAACATAGTTGTATTTAGGGTGACCTGTTTCCGTAGAATAAACTCGAAAGCTCTTGTCCCAGAAACCACAGATAAGAATGTAGCGATTATCTGCTGTGACCACGAAGCAATGTGCATTGATCTGTATGCTCTGATCCACAAGGTCTGTGATCTGCCGTTTGTTCACACCAGAGTTATTGGCTGTAACGAAATGCAAAACACATTTTACAAGTAAGCCATTCCAACACCTTCCTGTCATCCACTTACAGGAGAAAATGAATACATTTAACTTTCAATGAACTGTGAATTGTTGTTGAGTAAGCATTTTGAATATGAACATTTAGAGCTGTCTATATGGGTGTCAGAAATACAAAATTATTGTGAGATTTCTGGTTTCCCTTTGAATAAGACAAAAGATTTCAGAGGAGATGAGAATTTCTTATAAACTGCTTGATGCACTGTATAATATGTGGCAATATTTTAAGTGCTCTGCTGAAGTACTCTCCAAAACCAAATTGAACTAGGAGAAAGTGATGGAAGTCCATTTAAAATACCAAGTCAATGGTAACAAGACTGCAGAAAGTCAATTCTTGATGGTTGGCATCTCTCCTACAGAAAATATCCCAGCTTGCATTGTGTGACCTTGACATACCCCATACCTGCAGATGCTTAACTGGATCAAAAATATAAGGGTTGAACCAATAAAGCTATTCAAATCTAATGTGATTTTTCAACACGGTCTTATCACCTACTCCTCAAGAAGGGAGCCAGGCCATGGGCAGTAATGTTAGAACTGGCAATGCCACCTGGAAATTCCCCGAGAGAAGTTCATGAAGAAACCCTCCACCCTGACTGTCAAACAGAGCTGTTAGGAAGGACTGGGAGTAACCAGCTAATGTGCTCTTTACTTCCTGTGACACAACAGACAGGATTCAACAATACAACAAAGGTGTATTCCCTCTCACTTAATATTAACTTTCTAAAAGTTCAGTATATAATCTAAGTTAATTATCTACACTGTACTCACTGGAGAGAGAGACTTTTCACATGGCAAGCCATCTCATGCTGTAATAGCTATCCAAGTGCTACACAACTCCAGAGGATGCTTTCTTTTTCTACAGTAGCAATGGAGGGAATCTTGACAACTAACTTCAGCTAAATGAAGTTAGGTGAGATAAAACTCACTCTGAGAGGCAGATTTCTCCTAACGTAGGAACACGACTTAATGTAGATAATATTCTGAAATGTCTTTTGTCCCTATTTTTGGTTATCCTACTTAAATTGATCACCACTGCATGAAATGACTCAACCAAAAAGACCACTTATTTTAAATTTGCTTGTAAAAGTTAATACCATGTTTCTATACATTCGAAGGACACATATTTAAATTACCAGACCCTCTATGTCCATTTACTGGAAGGTAATCAATAATAAATTACTCAGATTTCCAGAACAGGTAGGCACAATAGTTGTGCTCTAGCTTTTGAGAGGAAAATCTGAAAAGAAAACTATTGTCATTATATGATCAAATGAAGCATACAGAATGAGGAAGCTAACGCTCCTGAGGTGCCTGTATATAAATCTTTCAACTGCGAATATTGACACAGGAGAAAAAGGAACTTTTCATCTGGGGATGTTTAAAAATGCCTTTTTTTTCTCATCAGTGCTACAAAATTGTCTCTAAGAACCTTCCCTATCCCCAGTTTGTCTCAAAAATATGCTTATGGCAAAATATAAACAAACCAAACGGCAAATAGTTGCAATTAAATAGAAATAAGGGCTGTCAGTAATACAAGCCCTGCGATCTAACAGTTTTAGCAGATGCTACTTCTCAAAATATTTCACTTTCTCAAATATTTTTGGATTTAAAAAATACGATTATGTATCAATTTAAAACCCAGTCTTTATTAATTTAGTAATGCTGTCTTGAACAATCCAGATCATAAATTAAATGAAAAGAAATGAAGCTACATCTGCACTGAGATACACACTACTGGCTGTAAGAAATGAAAATATGTGAACTCTACCAGACCCTCACATTTTATTTTACTAATGTGACCTGATAAAAGAACAGAATTATAGATATGGGCTGACAATGTGACTTAATTGGTTGTTTCTTAAATACCAATTGCTGGTGATGTTAATAACAAATAGCACTCATGTAATTCATTCAGCATCAATAGCTACTGCTTTTAGTTCTCCAGGACTGACAAGAATAAATATTTTCCTCTCTCCTGTGTTAAATGAAGCATAATATACAAATATAGCTTAATCAATAATTCTTGAAAATGCTGTTTTCAAATATATTGCTACATTTTCATTTTGACATACCAATCAATGGATCCATTTCGATTGGAAGATGATGGGCTTGATCCAAAGAATATCCTGGGGCTCCTCGAAGGCCTATGCATGAAAGGAAGAATAAAGCACATGACAACCTTGTTGTCTATATTTTTTATATGATTTTTCTAGGTTCAAAACCACATTATTGCATTATTATATATGAAAAAAGTAACTTCTTACTAGTTCTATGAGTCTTTTAAGATTCCTTCCATGCTACACAAATATGCATTTGTTAATTCAGTTATGTAATAGTAACTATAAATGTATGAGCATTAATTTCATCATGATTTACGCAGCCACAAACATTAATTAAATAACTCCTTTAAAATAGCGTAGCAGAGAAATTTTTCTATGTTTTAGCATTGGGGGAGATCTTATAATAGCACGGAAAATAAAAATAATTGGATTAAACATTGTTATGAGTTTCTTACATATAGAAACTTGTAAGTGACAGAAACTTGGACCTTTTTAAGGATTTATCTAGAATTTTTAGCTGGGAAATTGTGGGCTACAGTAAATTTGTCACAATTATTCCTATTACTTCTATCTTGAGCAGTCCTTAAGCTGTTCAAATGTGTATCAGGGGCTGCATATTTAGTGTTATCTGCTCCTGTGCATGTATAGCATTGCTTTGGCTCTTCTGAGCACCTTCCCTGGCATATAAATCACAATGGTCACTACTGAAAACACAGTTTTTGTCAGGAACTGCCATGTTGCACAAGAATATCCTCCGTAAGAGGACATTCTGGGGAATAAACTCAGTTTTCTACTACTGCATTTTCTACTACTGCAACAGACAACCAGAACAGGTAGAAGAAAACAGCATCTACAGCTGGCCCCGCTATCTTCTGAAAAACATTGCTTTGAGAACTTTTCCTTCCCTCCTTTCAAAACCGAACAATTTTGGGACAGATCTTTACTGAGATTCATTTGCTCCTACTGTGCGATGACTATGTAAATGCCTTCTACTGGTAGAAACCCTAAAGCTTTACATACAACTCACAACAGTAAAAGTGGTCTGTACACATTTCTGTAGATGAATGCATCCTTTATACTAGAGTTGCGATTTTTAAAAATAGTATTATGGTATAGCAGGAAATGTATACCCTGTCCTGGATTAGCTTCCTGCAAAATAAAAGACATTGCCAGGCAAAATGTAAAAGTTAGGAAAGTCATTAGAATGAGTTTTGATTCTCCAAACAGTTTTGTTTTCCTGTCTCTTCCTGTTATAATATATTCAGAAAGTATTCCTCTCTTTGAAGTCTGCACCAGAATTTTTCAAGTGGTGTGAAGTTTAGTTCATGGTTGGTTCATGATGTGAATTCTGCATGTTTGCAATGTTATATGTTTTACAAGAGTATATATGAAAAACTAAAACCGTCACATGCATTGTAAAGCCAACACGACTTTTACTAAACTAGATGACTTCAAATAACAGTGAAGGAAACCGTCAAGGTCACTAATGCTTCAGTTTCCTGTATTTCAAGGGTTTCACTGAGGACACCGTCATATAATATTTTTTAAAAATGTTTTGTTTGTTCTTCCCTCTGAATTTTTCCCCTTAATTTTAAAGAAATGGGCAAAACATTTTCACATCTAATGCAGTTGCACCTGATGGAATATCTAAATGCATGGCTTTGTGAAAGTCAATTAGATAGCATGGTCTGTTCCTGTCATATTCTCTAAACCACCATGTAAAGTTTGTTTGTTTACAAAAACCAGGTACATTCAGAATATATGCAAAATTTAATATTCATGCTAAAATTATGTAAAAGTCCAGAACAATAGTAATATTAAATCCTATATTAGTATTCAAGAATTCAGAGTGATATTAACTTCACTTGCTCTGATAGTTCCTCTAACGCATGCCTGTATGACATTCATTCCTCTAACTATTCCTTGTAACACCAGTCTTTGGGCAGCCTTGTGCATAAGAGGTGGGATCCATTTCACCTGACTTGAATTATTCACTGAGGAGATGTTTACATGTAATCCAGTGAAACCCCTAGGTAATATAGAATATCTTTATGTCTACTGGAGGTAGATATCTAACCTAAATATAATAAATCCTTCTCCAGGAGGACCTACTTCTGCCCAGGGGTTTCTTCTGTATGTAAAAAGTGGAGGATTTCTTTTTTTTTTTTTTGTCTAGTCCCTAAAAAGTTCCTGAGCCAGCTACTGAATCACACTCTCAAATACTAGGTACCTTTTTGTTTTTCTCAGGTGGTAAGAAACCTTCAAAGCTTCCAGACACTGTAGCATAAGGGATATCACAGCAGGAAGCTACCTTAGAAAATGAAACCTGTTTACTCCCTCACGTACCTCAAGGCCCCTCCACTTATTCAGTAATGCCTGGGACAACCTCAGCATCTACCTGTCCAGGTGATGAGACAGGACAGTCCTAGCAGCAATATGGAGAGGTGAGCAGAGGGGCTGGAAGGCAAATTTGGGATGACCATGTTGGGTGTTTTTTTGGGAGGGAATGAGAAAACTTCTCTTCAGAACAGTTCAGTGTCTGGCTGCTTAGGCTGGCTTAGGGACACACATTCTAATGGTGACCCAGGGGAGGCCTATGACAAGCTCCTGGACTGACCTGAAATCTCTCTCAAGCAGCAGACAGTGATGTACACCCTGTAGTATGCCAGTATGTATTCCTGAAACCTGGGACATATTAATAGCTGCGTCAAGAAGAGCAGCACTCTCCTGAAAAGCATTATACCAAAGGCTGATCCCGATGTAACCACAAATCGATTGACTGCCATGGTGATGTGTTGCTGTTAGGAAGTGTGTGTCTAGGAATGACACCAGAGAAAACAAAAACTTTGATTATTTGACACAAACCAGAAAAAAAAATTTTTTTGTGCACAGGCAGGAAAGTGAGATTAACCCACATCTAGCTAAATTGCACTCAAAATTAAAGCTGCACTGTTACAGTCCTTAAATTTGAATGAAACAAGCCTGTAAGAACCTACCTACTGTGTTGTGCCACCGATTGACTGCGAACAGCCTGCTGCAGGTGACAGTCACCACAGCAGGAATGGTCAGGTGGGGCAGCGTGTTGGCTGCCACATGTGTGACAGGGGAATTTGATGGGAACTTCAGCACCATGATGACATCCTGCTGCATCTGATCTTTAAACATGAGGGGGCTCTGTGGAAGGAAACACTGTTGAGTAGAAAGGAGAAGAGAGCAGAAGAAAACAGAAGGGATAACACAATTAGTGAGGAGGTCTGAGGGAAAACGAGGTTAAAAAAGAGCAGGCAAGCATGTGCACATACAGGGAAAACATTACCTGCACATCTACACTAGTGATGGAGGAGAGCAAGATCAGAAGCTATTATTGGATCATTACACAAGGACAAGCAGAGAATAGGTATGGTAAGGGTTATCATTACAGGGTGCAAAATGACTGTTAGCATTAATTAATATACAGTAAAATGTAAAATTATACAGCAGTTAATATTCTACAATAGAAGTACGAGTCAAATAAAAGTTAAACTATTTAATCCATCATAAATATAAATGCTATCAACTACAATGGTTGAAAAAGGAAATTTTAAAAGGGATTCAAAAACTCACAGATATTTATTTTTACTTAATAAATTCTTTAATGAAATACAGAACTTCCAAGCATAGACAATTTAATTTTATGCAAACTGTATACTTATTAGGGAGTCTGTAAGTAATTATAAACCTGTTTGATGATTCTAGAAGTGACAGTTTTTTGTACATGAAAAATAATAATAATGTTATTAAGTACTGGTTTTAATATGGGTTTTTTTTTCAACCACTGTTATAACAAATAGAATTCTTTCTAGAAGTTCAAATAATCCTTTCTACTTATCTACTTATAAATTATTATTCAAAATATATTAACCATATCTTAAGAATATAAGTATTATGTATGTTTGACATCTATACATTACTTAAAATAAGACAGCTAACACTTCCAGATCAATTCCTACTTTTGCAGTGTACAACTAAATAGAGTGGTTTCCTTGTAGATAGATAAATGATTGAAACTACTGCACATATTACTGTCGATTTACAAAACTTAAAAGAAAATATCTAGCTCTAAGCATTTAATCAAAGGCACCGAGGGGCACAGAGATGCGTCTCATTCAGTTTGGCTATTTCATATCATCTTTGCAAGAAGCAGAGAGAAGAATGCGTTAGGAATGAATTCTGGAGTTCAAATTGAAATTCGAAATATACATTGTATTCTCCCAGGGGAACAGGCGAGAAGATTCCAGCACAATTTGAACTCATATACTTCATTTTTGTCAAGCAAGCATTGTTCATAAATCAGCCCCTAACCATCCTTTGAAACAAAACAAAACAACATGCTCACTCTAAGAAAAGCTTGCAGTCATTCACAGTACTTGCAGAAATAAGAACGCAAACATGTATTTATCAGGTGTATACTTATGAAGGTAGGGCCTTTTAATGCAATATTAGACAGGAAAAGCCAGGACTATAGAAAACTAAAGCTCCACCTTGCTCTGCTAGAGCACTGCGAGCTGTTGCGGCCAGGAGAAAGTATGGCTGCATGGGCAACGGAGGGCATTAAAAGTGTTGTTTAATGGGTACTTTATGACCTACAAAGGATCCTCAGGTTCAAAGGGAATGCATTCCCAGCCAGCAGTTATGTCTCACCAGGTGCATGGCAGAGCTCCGAGGTGGATGGGGCTCAATAAGCAACTGCGATGGCGTCTGTCCAAAGTTCTGTATCTGCGCCTCCATGGCCTGCGGGCAAGGGAGAGGGACTGTCATGAGCAATATGCATCAAAGAGAGAGGTCAACACACTGTGTGACAATGCAGGCATATCCCAAGTCAGCCATGAAAAAAGTCCAGAAAATTCACCCGGTGCTCTCCTCCCAGGCTGCAGACTCATCCAAGTGTTAGTATTTTGTAGACAAGCTTTGCTTCTCCTTTCAAGCATGCTTCAGTTAACCATCTAACCATACTCATTTCCAGTAACTGGCGTTACATGTGAAAATGTTAACCTGTGAGGACATGCAGTTCAGGTCTTGGGAGAGCTTTTTTTTTTTTTGTACTAAAAAGAACATATATACCTTAATAAAGTCCTTTGTAAGGAGGAAAGTATGAGGATCTCTAATAAAATAAGCCTCTGGAATCTTCAATGAGGGGAAAGAAAAGCAAACTGAGAAACAAAATTCATGTATAATATATAATAAAACCAAAATAATTACTATTTCAGCAACAACATTAGTAAATTAAAACAAAAAAAGTGCCAGAAACAAATCTTGCCAGGCACATTCAGATTAATGTAAAATCAGATTAATGTAAAAATCCTTCCAAGTTGCATACATTCATTGAGTATTAATTTAATGTTTGATTTTATTGCATTTTTTCATGAGCTTTCAGGCTTCACAGGTTTGAAATAAAAACTTAGCAAATTCAATGCATTCTTGGAGACTGAAATCTACTTTCAACACAAATCTGAAGCAATTTGATAGGAAGTAGAATACAGCCCATATACTGAGATGCTTCCACTACTCAAACAGTTCATTCAAACAAAAATATATCTGTTATATTCTTAAAAACTTTGGCAAAATATTGCTGCTTAAAAAGCAATACTGTTAAAGAACTCTCATCTTTCAGACAGGTACTATTTTATTTGACCTTGTATAACTGAGAATAAAGCATTCATAGAAAACTAAACTGGCAGACTGTGAAATGCACTGTGCATTATGTACCTATATATATATATCTATATATACACACTGTACCCTGCACTGCTGACCCTTATTTTTCTTGAGAGCTTTATGAATTTTTCATTCACTACCACAAAAGAAACATGGAAAAACACTGAAAACTTTACTATCTTGGTAAATCATGTTATTTCTTTCAGACATAAAATGGTAAGAAGCACAACAAATACTTAATGATATAGAAGAATCCTTCCAATCTGCATATTTTATAAGTCCGACAAGCCAATCTGTGTTTTCCTCCGCTTCACAGCAGAGATGCAAGAACAGATGTTAGAGATTTCCTAATAGGTCACTAATGTCTACCACTCTTGATGCCCTAGATTGACAGGTATATAATGAAATACCACAAACAAACATTTGCCAAAAAAGAAACTTAATGCAAAGTCCAGCCAAGCGACTGAAGGAGTTTCAATGGATCATAGCCCTGTGCATTCAGTGCTGTAATTATCCCAGTACAGGTGATTTCTTGTTTTTTTGACTAATTCGGAGTGAACTTCATTCTCCAAGGCACTGGGTGTTTCTTGGGAACTGGTGAGCGTCTTGGGTTTTATTAACATAAATTAATGATGAATACATTTAAAATCATAGAGTAACTTTATACAAAACCTATGCATTTGTGTGGGCATATGTGTGTCTGTGTGTACACGTCTACACAGCAACTATCTATGTGTACTGTACAAATAGTATCTCTTCATGCACTGTAGATACCTTCACTCATGCAGACACTTTTTATACAGGAACACAAAATTCACTTCAAGTCAAACTGAAGGTAGTATTTTCTATTTACTTTCAGTACTTTAGAATTGTTTTGCCTGGTGGGGAGAAGGGAAGGGAATCACACTTGTTTCTGAATTTAATTTTCAAAATGACAAAGACTAATATTAGCAATATCAGGCACTCTGTGATATATGCTTCCACACAGACCTGTCAATAATATTTTCATAAAAGTAATTTCCATTTTTCATTTTCCAAATAATTATCAAGGTTAATTTCATTTTAATTTTTGAAAGAATTCTGTGCTGAAATAAGAGTGTGAATTGTATTTGGCAGCAATACTAAACAAAAATCAGATCTTCCTCTCCCACCCTTTATAGTGATCCTTTAAATTATACTTCTGTTCTCTCACAGGCACACTGAAATGAATTATTAAATTTTTTTTCCAGTGTAGCCCAATTCTAATTTACACGTTTACTTTCACGCTGTCCATCTTGGCAAATTCTGATTGTTTGGCTGTAAATTCTGCAGACATAAACTTTGCTGGTTCTGCCTCTCAGTTCAGGTAGATTTATGACAGTAATAGAGGAAGAGAAAGAGAAGCAGAATACGATAATAAACCAGCATGAATTTTTCAGATTATGAGGAATGGACACTTAAAACACAACTGTCAAAACCAACTATTATGTTACAGCTGAAGTTGTCCCGGTAAATACTGACTTGCATATTTTACGCACCCATAATTTTAAAACATCTGAGTTAATGCCAAGTCCTTCTGTAACTAGAACAAATGCAGAATCAAAACCTTGATATTCAGGGAATATAAAATATTTTTGCTGACTTGCATTTACAAGACAACCTCCTCTCCCCCACCCTGTGAACAATAATGTTATCCTTTTCTTTCAAAAATACCATTTGTAAAACTGACAACTCTTAGGAGCATTAAATAAACTGAACAATGTTTCTGAAAAAATACCCATAATATTCGACTACTGCACTGAGACTACAGTTTGCATAACACTGCAGCTGTGCATGGCTACAACTGGTATTCCTCTCTGGAGCTCACAACACTTAAAAAGGACAGAAAAACCTTGTCAAAACTTAACACAGAAGATAAACATAAGCATACAGAGATAAAGTGACTGGCCCAAGGGTATTCCTAATGCTGCCTCCCATCAGATCACTTGACACAAAATGAAAAGCAGGTACAGAACAGATCTGTGAATGATAATGTAATACATTGATTTGTTTACAAGAGAACTCTAGCTGTATGTGAAATTAATCTGAAAACTGGTAAGTGTACACTGCAGTTTCTCTTGAACTGTAAATCACCAAACTTTAGATTTATTTAAGTCTTAAACATTTCATTCAAATTAATCAATTCCTTTTCTCCCATCAGATCTTGAGTACTGTGTGCAAAGTGCTACACCACTCCCTGAGACACAGATTCTAGTCAATTTAATACATATTTTAATAAAATAAAGTTTATTCTCATTTCACCTTCAAATGTCCTATTGTAGAAACAATATTACCTTGGAATTCAGTGGCTGTCAAATTTAACACTTTCAGAACAGCAAAATGGCAATTATATTAGCTTTTACTTTCTTAATAAGGTGTTGCAGAAAAGCTATTTAGTGAGCTGATTCGAGATTTCCCACTGTTTTTAATACACATAAAATGAGATTTGTACTTCAGACACTTCAGGGAGTATCTGTTAGGATATGATCATGTATTGCAGAAAGAGAAAATGGGTCTCAGACTATTGTTTGATAATCATAGGTCAGAACAAGGAAAGAAAAAATATCTGCAAACTTGCTGGCAATTCAAAATTTAAAATGAGTTGATCTCACACATACTAATTTATGCAATCAGGTAAAACACAACTTCACAGTACTTAATATTGGCCATTTAACAGTGTTATAGGGAGATATATATAATATAAACTTATAAGTTTACGCACATTTTGGTTAAGAAATCAATATATCAAAACATCTGATTTTACGAATGGTACTAATCATAGTACAATGACCAATATCCTCAATGTATTTTCCTCCAAGGAAATAAATGATTGGTTTCCAATTTTTATGCGTAAAGGCAGACTGTACATTCACAAGGACACTGGGATGCTCTTCTGCAACCTGGCGGACCAGTCCTTAGTGTCAGCTTCCTGTGGAATTAAGAGTTCAATACATCTACTTTTCTCATTATGCAGTCTACTGAAGTATTTGGGTTTTATTTCTTAATTCTGGTCAAAAAAGAAATACAAATCTGTCATTAAATAATTCAAGCAATCTGTTTCTTTAGGTGTAAGAACTATTTTTAGTGGTCAAAGGCAATGTCTCCAACAGCAGGCAGTGTAACTCAACAGGACCAGAGCTGCAGAGCAGAAGACTTGGTCGTAGAATAGAATAGGATATTTTTTTTCAGTTGGGAGAGACCTACAATGATCATTCAGCCCAACTGCCTGAGCACTTCAGGGCTACCAAAAGTTAAAGAATGTTGTTAAGGGCATTGTCCAAATGCCTCTTAAACACTGAGAGGCTTGAGGCACCAGCCACCTCTCTAGGAAGCCTGTTTCAGTGTTTGATCACCTTCTCAGTAAAGAAATGCTCCTAATGTCATATCTGAACCTCCCCTGATACAGCTTTGAACCATTTCTATGTGTCCTATCACTTGATACCAGGGAGAAGAGATCAGCACCACCTTCCTCTTGAGGATCCCATGCTGAAACCATGCCCACTGCAGGGTTTTCCCATCAGGATGGCTCCAGCGTGTGCTGCAGACCACAACAGTGGCTGAGGTCTGCTAGCTGCGTGCCTGGAACACACTGCTTCTGTGACTTAGAAGCCAGTTAACACACTCCACATACTGCTCAGCAGTGTGAATGAAAGCATAGCAAATAGGACAATCGGCAGATTCATTTCAGAAGCACAGTCCTAACCGAAATGAAAATGCTACAATTGACTCATCCGAAACATCACAGAAGTGAAGAGTTGTTTGCTCTTTGACATACCTTTGTAAAAAGGCTAAGCCATGAAGCAGTTTATTTTAACATACTTTTTCTCTAAAAAGTTCTTTAGAAATGCAGGTAAAATCACCAAGGAAGTTATTAATGATCCATCTCATTTGCAAACTTCCTTTTTACTGAGAGAGATGTCTGGTGACTACAAAACACAAGAAACATAAAAGCATGAGCGCTTTTACTTTGAATAATGAAGGGAAGAAAGAAATCCCTAAAACCAGACTGCATTGCAGATAGTAAGACAATGTTTTTATTCTTATGTGAAGTGGCCTTG